ATGAAGAAAATAAAAAGACAAGCTAGACAGTGGGAGAAGGTATTTGCAGCACATAACTGACAAAAGACTAGCATCCGGAATTTAAAGCAACGCCTACAAATTATTAACAGATAATCCAGTAGAAAAACGGGGAAGCAACTTGAACACACACTTCACAAAAGAGAAGCCCAAATGGTTTCTACATAGCCAGCGACACTCAGCCTCCTAAGTCGTCAGAGTGAAAGAGGGAACGACAGTGAACCACCTCCACACACCTACCACAGGGCGCCGTGATTCCTGGTGCTGGCAGGGCGTAAAACCATTTTGGAACATGGGTTGGCATTGTCTGGTGGCACTGAAGACATGCATACCCCGTCGGCCAGCAGTTCCACTCCCGGGCGTGTGTCCTGGGAAATGTGGCAGTGTACCAGGGGACAGGTGCAAGAATGCTCATGTTCACAACAGCCGACAACTGGGAGCAGCCCAGATGTCCCTCAGAATTAGAATGGATGATTGTCGATGCTGCGTGATACAGTCACACAGCGGAAACCACACAGCTATATGCAGCAACATGGATGGCTTACGACGTTCAGTAAAAGAACAAGTTTTGCCCGGCAGAGCAGAGCCGTGGTGGCTTGGAGGAGCAAGGGGAGGTTGAGCGTGCGGCCAGGCCACAGGGCAGGACTCCATGTGGCTCGCCAGAAAGAGCCACCCCAGCCCCAACTGCCCAGTGGGGGCCTCCTGGTCTTGGTCTGGGGCCGGGTGCCATGGAGTGTTGTTGTAGCCTGGGAGGACCTGGGTGCATTTTTAGGTGTGACCTCCTAGTTCTGACAGATGGCTGCTGTGTTCCCAGTGCCCTTGGGGGAGTGTGGCCATTGCCAGCTTTCTTGGGAATGGCAGGATTCTACCTGATCAATGTGGAGTTCTGGCTTCCTCTTGGAAGCTGCCTGTGGTGTACGGTGAGAATATGGCACACATGGGAGGGCCTCAGGACATCACCATCATTTGGATCATCTTTTACTCTGCCATCCTCTCTCGCTATGGATCCCTAAGGTGACCAAAGGACCCCTTCAGCTAGGATTGCGGGGCCCCTGTAGTGCTGAGAAGGCTTGTCTTTTCTGGACCCAAAATCGCTGTGTTGGGCATCAGTGTTTTTACAAGGTAATGACCTGGGACCTTTAAAGAACCATGCACCTTTTTAAAGAAGCATATCCAAGTCACCCATCCCTGACCATCTCCTCACCTTTCTTTAATTTGATGCATCTCACATCTGGATGAAACACTACATTGGCTTCCTCGGTTCTCCCCCCGGTGGACCTGTTAAGCTGTCAGAGGCTTGTGAGTCTTCTGAGCACAGTACAAGCAGCACTTAGCAAGTTCCATTGTGGAATGTTTTCAGATAGTTGAACAGGTCTAATCTGTAATTGAAAGATAATTCAGTTCAATTCCATTCATATGAAGGTCAAAAAGAGGCCAAACAATATTGTTCAGGGATGCTTACATAGAAAGTAAAAATATAAAGAAAAGCAAGGAAATAGTGACTGTGAAAATTGGGCTGGAAGTTAGCTCTGCAGGGCCTGGGGGGTTGCGGAGGGCTTCAGCATTGTGGGGAGGGTTCTTTGAGTACTCAGGTTTCACTGCTGTGCCTTTTCATTAAACTGTACATTTATATTTGATACACTTTTCTGCTACACTTAACAACAAATTTTTTTTAAAAAGAGTTTCCCACTCCCAACTCTTCAGTCATTCACCTCCTCCCCCTACAGGAGACCAAAATTATTAATTTTACATCCTCCAGAGATGATGTATTAAAAGCAAATGTATATAGATTTGTGTATTCTTTTCTTCTTCCCTTTTTACCTTTTCAAGTATTTTTTTGCATATATAAGCAAATGTATATGTCTATCCCCCTTTTTAAACAAAGAGTAGGATATTATATATAATGTTTGCCACCTTTTTTATATTTGAGATCTTTTAATATCAGCATACAGAGTGTTTTCTCAGTGTTTTTTACATCTGGTTGGTTCACACTGAATGGATGTTGTGTGATTTATTTACCAACTCCCTTTATTGGTGTTAAATTGTCATTTACAGGCTCTCTGAGGTTTTGCTGCACTTAATAACCTTTACACACATCGTGTTGCTTCAGTACGAATGTAGCT